AGGGGTCACCGAAGATATCTACATTACATTTTGTAACAATAACAAAATTACAAGTAGCAACGAAAATAATTTTGTTAGGGTCACTATAACATGAGGAACTGACCTGTATTAAACTGTTGCAGCATTGGAAAGGTTGAGAAGCACTGTTTTGAAAGGTTTGAGTTGGCTTGTGCTGTAAGGTCAAAACAATGGATTAGGGACTAGAATAAAATCCTTCAATGAGGACCAGTGAGATGCTCAGTGAATGAAAGGTCAAAACAATGGATTAGGGACTAGAATAAAATCCTTCAATGAGGACCAGTGAGATGCTCAGTGAATGAAAGCACTTGCTGCCAAACCCGATGACCTGCGTTCCATCACTGGGACTCACATGGGGGAAGGAAAGAACCGACTCCAGAAAGTTCACAGGCACACACATGCGTGCACATAAGCTCGCACCCTGCACTGCATCACACTGCATCGCACTGCACTGATGAACTCACAGTGGTGGCCCGTACAAGATCAATCCAGTCAACATTCTGGCATGGCTAGAAGGGCTCATGAGGCCCCACCTCTAGCCGAGGAGCTATTGGCAATTGGGGGGCCAGTTTTCTTCAGGAGTATGGCCCCAGCAGATTGTTGGTGCTCCAGGCTTCAGTGGATGGCCCTGCAACCATGCCCATATAGCACATACAGGCAGCACTAATAGGATTCAATGGGTTTAAATTTAAAAAAAAAAAAATGAAGTTGGGAGGGGCACGTGGTTGGAGGGGAACCTACGGGAGGTAGAGGGGAGTAGAGAGGGGTGATATGATCACGATACACTGTATTTATCTATAAAATTATCAAAGAATGAATTAAAATGAAAAAGAGTCTCTGAGTATAATGACAGATACGTACCTGAACACCAGTCAGCCCGCTTCTTAACAAATGTAACCGCAGATTTTGGAATTTCTAATGTGTGAGGAATAGCAAACTGGTAATGACAGAAGCCTCCCAGTGGTGGCCCACGGCTGAAGGTCAGGGCCGTGTGGGCTGCGGCAGAACACAGCCAACCTTGAAGGGAGATGGAAATGTCTCTTGTCTCAGTTATGGTCACCTGGTGGCTATACATCTGTCAGACTCTCAAACAACATGCCAAGTGGTTACAGTGAAACTGGTTTTTAAAGAGGAATTAAGGGACTCCAAAAATTAACAAAATAAAACAAATCATTCTTGATATAGTCTTAACTTTGCAGACATTTACTCAGAAGCAAAGAAAAGTGAGTTCCTTTGGTCTTTTCTCAATGCTGACTTGAATCCAGACTCTAGTGAACTGGTTTCTGATTTCATCTCTCTGAGATGGAACCCAGAAAGCATCAGGTTTTAAAAGCACAGCTAGGCTTGGGAGCCAGTTAGTTGCATGACTTGCTGTATTTGTAAGAACCATACTGTTTGTTCAGAAGGAAAATGACAGAGAATGCAGAAGTTGTACTTTGTTTCCTGAGCAGTCTTTAGGGAAGTATTAGCAGCTCCTAGATAGCTGTGGGTATGACTTCAGAGGCCAGAGGTGGGGTCCAACTCGCGCTTCTCACCATATCTTTACATGGTGAAGTAACAGTAAGTATTGTGTGAACATTTGTAAGTAACTGTGGACTTGTCTCACAATGAAGACTGTCATTTAGGAATGTACCCATTCTAAAGAATGTTCTATTGAGTCAAATGCATGCTTCTTCTAGCTGAGCGGCCCTTATTCACTCACTGTAGCTTCAAGAAATGTTTCCTATGTCTACCAAATACCGCTCCAGACATGGAGTGAGAAGTGTACATTCATGGAGCTTGCCTCCCCTAGCAGAAGAACAGGAAGTGTGAATTTCCATGTAAAGATCAACAAAGGGGAGGGGAAGGGAGCCTTAGCTCGTGAGGCTGCATCACAGTAACATTCAAGCAGGAATTTAAGGATAATGAAGGAGCTAGCTAGGCATGAATGAGGGGCCAGAACGTTCTAGGCTTAGGAGCCACTGGCAGATGAGCAAGAATGGGCAGGGCAGGAGGTACAGAGGTGGCGCCAGCTCGTGCTCAGCCCTAGACGCTAATGGAAGGACCTTGTGTTTCTGGTTGATTTGGGAAGCCCTCAGTAGTTTTGGACAGAGAATGGGCAATGCTGGCATGGGTCTTAAAGAATCACTTTTTTGTTGCGTTGAACACAGATTGTAGAAGTATAATCAGTAGCCCCTGGGAAAATGCATACACTGGTCTGCTGAGAATGTTTCCTTAACGTCAAGTTGTTTTTATAAAGTCTACTTACTGTGCTTTGGAATTATTTTCTACTTTGATTTATAACATTGACTGTAAAAAGTAATGTTTTTTCCACTGCAGACCTAGAAGCTAAACTGTTACAAGCCAAGTCCAAAGTCGCATGGCAAACTTGCATGGTCAAAAAGACCGAAGTATAGCTTTGTCTCCAACTGAATCCATTGACTTCGTGAAAGGAATCTATTATGTTCAGATTATGCTTTAAGATGTTACTTGAAAGGGGGGCATTTATGTTAGTAAGTTTAATGTAGTTTTAAAAACATCTCCCAGTGAGCAAGACCCTGTGTGCAAAGGGAATAGATATGAAGATGTGTGGAGCTTATTCCAACCCTGTGAATTTATTTCTTGTGGTGATGATACTAGAGCAGTAAATGCCTAGTGAAGTGTGACATGCTCAGTTCCAAACAAGTGCTGCAGTCAATGCCGTAAAAATTCAAAGAAGTCATGATGGTGGCATGGAAAGTTTGTGCAGCAGGGAGGCAGGTACTTGTGGTAGCCAAATTCATTTTAAGTTCAAACTGTAAGACAGTAGATGATGCAAGTTTAAAATATTTTAAGTTGAGGGCCTATAATAAGAATTTGGTTTGCAGAGTAAAGGCAGGTTAAATCGAATTTAAGATGAGCTTCAGTTCAGCAAAGGATGACTGGGACATCTCTGGCTGGCTGTGCCATGCCCTACTGACTGCTGAGGCACACTTGAAGGTCAACGGAGGACCAGGTGTGCTGATGCCTACTGTAATCCGAGCACTTAGGAGGCTGAGGCTGGAGGACCACAGATGTCCTGATTAGTGTTTGTTTGTTTGTTTTGTTTTGTTGTCAAATTGACAAAACCTAGGAAGAGAAAACCTCAGCTGAGAAAATGCCTCCATCAGACTGTCCTTTAGACAATCATTCTTGGTAGACTGATGTGGGCGGGCCCAGCCCACTGTAGGTGGTACCACCCCTGGGCAGGTGGTCCTGGATTATGTAAGAAAGCAGACTGAGTAAGACTAGTGAGCAAGCCAATAAGTAGCATTCCCCTATGGTTTCTGCTTCTGTCCTGCCTCCAAATTCCTGCTTGAGCTGAGCCCTGGCTTCCCTCAATGATGTAAGCTGTAGGATGAAATATACCCTTCCTCCCCAAGCTGCTTTTGGTCATGGTGTTTATCACAGCAAGAGAAACAAACCAGGACAAATAGAGTCCAGCCCAGGCTACATAGCAAGACTCTGTCTTAACAACAGACAGCAACAACAACAACAACAACAACAACAACAACAACACACACACACACACACACTTCTATTCTGTCAAGGAATATATTTAACTTCATCTTTAAGGAGAGAAATGATGTGGTCAGTAGCATACGTAAGGGTTAAAATGGTAGTGTTGTAAGAAGTATATGGGAATCAGGAAAAATAGGGGTTGAGAGCTAGTTGGCAAGGGCTCATGCCAACCTGTGTATACCAACTTAAACCCAAAGAGTCCCTCCCCACCTCAGCTTTCATTATAATGCGCTTGGCTTGAAGGACAGACCACAGAGACAGCTTCCACAGTTTACTTATCGCTAAACCATCCACATGAAGATCATCCCATGTGCTCATGGCTTCCGTTCATCTTACTTTCTCCTTTCCTTGAGCATCATCACTGCCTGTCCATCTTCCAGGAGCTGGCGATGAGGCAGTCAGCAGGAGATTCAAGTTCCTGCTTCCATGTAGTTTGCCTTCTGGTGTCAGACAATACTGAATAAGCCAGTGTGTAAGAAATCCCCCCTGTCAGTTTCTGAGTTGGAACTTGAAACTTGAGTTAAATACATACTCTTAGCAAGATAATTTGATGGGATACCCTACTGCAGGCTAGAAGATTAAAGAAGATTAAATTCATCTGCAGAATTATTTTTTAGATATATTGCCAAAACTATGGCCACTATTTTAGGCTAGGCAAGGATACTGGGTCTAACTAGCTGCCTGTACTAGACTTCTTTACTATTCAAGATGACCTGTTAAAGCACACGCTGTTTGTTCCATCAACAGTGGTGTGCTCTTGCCTTTCTTGGTGGTTTTTCTGACTTCCCTGAATTCCAGAAAAGGCTTATTGTCACTGGTGATGCTCGCAGGAACCCTCTGTGTCATTATTTACCGACTGACTGCCTTGGCAGAGCTATGCCAGTTCTTATGATAACTGTAACAGTAGTCAGAAGTGACATTGGGAGGGATAAATGAAGGTTCATACATGCACACACATGCGCACACACATGCGCACACACGTACACACACATCTTCAGTCAATTTCTGAGAATTATCTGAAGTAGCATTTGTCACTAAGACACAGGTCATGGTTTCCCTCAGTGAGGACCTGTTAGCAGTGATGGGTGGGTGGAGTTTGTTTTTGTTCCCCTCCCTTTGGCTTTACTACTTCTTAGATGGGAGCCCTAACTTAGAGCACACACTCACAGTGTAAACGAGCCCTTTTTGTGAATAGACATTATAAAAGGCTGCTCTTTCTGAGAAAGTATGGGGCTAGGCTGGTGGGGTATTTCCTATTGTTGAAAGTCAAGGTTTGAGTGGACTTTCGTTTGACTAGGTTTGGACTTTCTGCTTCCAGATAAAAGCTTTGTAATAAATTTGTGGTTCGAGTGTGGGCGGACCTAGGATGCCGCTTCTGCAGTGTTATATGGTGCACACGTGTGCTTTTGAAAACAAGCTGTATCCACATGGAGTTGGTCACAGGCTTTTCTGATTCCTTTTAGATGTGAAGCCCTCCAACATGCTAGTCAACACAGGCGGACAGGTCAAGCTGTGTGACTTCGGCGTCAGCACGCAGGTAGGTCTTTTTTCTGCTCAGCCTGCCCTGTGGATTGAAAATCACCTAGGTTCCAGACAAACAGGAACTGTGCGTCTGCTTGTCGCTGGGCACATGTTATTCATTTTTAATCTCTGAGCGAGTTTCCTTCATCAGAATATGATTGTTCATTGTTTAATGACAGTAAAAACTGCTGATATTGTAATTACTACTTACAAATAGCAAACTTCATTGCTATGCAGCTTGACTATGAAAGCGCTCTGGCCAGACAAAAGGGAGGACAGCGAGGGAGCCGTGCCTGGGGAGCCCAACTGGCCCACAATAAAAATTAATATTGGGAGCAACAATGGTGGAGGGCCATTACAATATGCAGCACCAATTTTAATTAATTTCCATTTGGGGCCTCCCCTGAGAACCCCAGTGATAGTGACCCATGCGCGTGCTGTGGTGTTGATTTGAATTGCAGCCACCTTCCCTCCCATCCAAACACGAAGACCAAAGCGAAGGTCAGCTTCGCATTATGAGTTGTCAAAGTCTGTTATCCCTCCAGCCTCTTTAGTTCATCTCGTCCTGGGAGCGCGGC